CCCATATGAAGTGACAGCTTAGCTTTTTAGCACTCTCAAGGGGTCTTTGGTAGATTTTCACAAGGTAATACATGGGTTGATTTCTTGACTGCTACACCCATGACCATTGCTTGTGGATCCAAGTAAATAAAATCTCTTCTCCATTTCTGATGATGTTGTCTATTGGTCCAATTGTGAGGGTTTGGTTTTCTCTACACACTGATGTCTGTGGTCTCTGATCTTCACCAGTAAGTGCTTTCATTCTTTTTTTGGTTTTAGTCTGGTTGTGTTATTTGAATACTGCAGCTTACTAATAAGCCTTGCTCCAATCTTGAGGCCATGTTCTTCTTCATCTGGGATAGCTTCTTGGATTATTTGTTCAGCATACAGGTGAAGTACATATGGTGAAAGAACACAACCCTGAAACACACCTTTCCTGATTTTATACCATTGAGAATCCCCTTATTTTGAATTACTGACTCTAGGTCTATGTGCAGGTTTTACATGAACACAATGAAGTGTTCCGGAATTCCCATTCTTCTCAATGTTATCCATATTTTTTTATGATCCACACAGTTGAATGCCTTTGCATAATTAGTAATACACAAGTAAATATCCTCTGGAATTCCCAGCTTTTAGCAATGACCCACCTGATATCAGTAATGCTATCCCTTGTTCTGTGTCCTCTCTGGGCATTTGGGCATCTTCAAGGGATTCAAATAGTGTTCCTTAAAGCATTCTTTGAGTTGGGGGTAACAAAAAGAAATCGGAAGGAGCAAGACCAGGGTTATAGGGTGTACAGGATAAAGATTCCCCAGTAAAATTCTCGTAGGACAGCCCTTGCTACCCTCAAAGAATGAGCAGGTTCATTGTCAGGAAGGAAAAACAATCCTCAGTGCAATTTTCCAGCCTTTCTCTTACCAATCATAACCTTCTATTTTCTTAAAACTTATTCATAACAAACCTGTGGGCATCCTTTGTCCTTTAAGAAAATCTATCAAGATCACCCCTTTGGAGTCCTCCAAACAGTCATCATCATCTTTTAAAAATAACCTTTTGAACTGACCTCTTAGCCTTCACTTAACTGGCCCAGCAGATTCACTCTGATGCCACTGTTTTGATTAGACCATTTTGATTTGTGGGTAGCCTAATAAAAAAAGTGTACTGCAGAGAGGACTTGTCTAAAGCCATCAACTGATTGCAACCATATGTTTAAACATATTTTTGTTTGGAATAAACCTGTGCATGTATAAACTGGAATCCTCATAGCAATACTTTTTGACTTACCCTCTTATATTAACATCATCACAGTTATTGGAAAAAATTAACTTAATGTACTCTGTACAGTATAATGTATTACAGAATTTATGACTATACGGTTATAACAATTATAACCCATTGTTGTAGAGTTAATTTGAACTTGCAGTTACCTTTGATGGGGCAGTGTTTAGGTAATGAGCTGCAAACACAAGGTCAGCAGTTAGAATCTACTAGCCAACCACACCTTGAGAGAAAGGTAAGCCAGTCTGCTTCCATTATCATTTATAGCTTCAGAAACCCTATGGAGCAGGTTCTAGTCTGGCGTACAGGGTTGTTATCAGATGTGATGACAGTGGGTGAGGTTTCATAGCAACCCTGTAGAACAACACAGAACTGCTACTTAGGGTTTCCAAAGCTGAAACTCTTTACAAGAGCACATGGTCACATCTGTCTCCTACAGAACGACAGGTGATTTCAACCCCACCCCCGAGGTTAGCAACTAAACATTTAACCATTTATTGCCTCTACTAGGTCACAGAAGGTATGATCGGTATTTGAATCAGTTCTTAATTTCCTTAAGATTGAACCATATATTGTATAAATAATTAGAATAAAATTTTGAGGAATTCATGCTAATATAATTCACTATGAACTAGCTAAAATTAATTATAACATTAATTACCTTCTATAATAATAACCATGAATATTTGTTTTGAAGTTCATTTAAAACCAGACTTTCTCTGAATCGCTAATTATAATCTACAGTAAGACAAATCAGAGGTTCCATTTACCAGATCTTATCAGAAGTCACCCTGAGTTTATTTTATAAAGCAAACTAAATATAAAGGCATTCAGTTGACTTTTTGAAAAGTTAAAATTAAAAACAGGCTCTTAAATTTATGTTTCAAGGTATTTTTAGCTCTTACCTGTAACACAGCAGCAAATAAGAATACTACTATGAAGATTACAGTCAAAGAGGTATGACCACTTTTCATCAAATGAATAGTGTAGAGGAAAATTAAATGTCCAGGAATCACTAAAAGCAGCAGAACTTGGGCAGACTTATTATTTACTCCTAGAATAGAAAACGTAAGTATCATTAAAATACAATCATATTTTAGTAAATGGTAAGTCATAGCTATCAAAGTTTGAGGATTACATTCTTGTTACATACTATAATGCATAGCAACATATAAAATTCAATTGCTATAAGTACATTTCAGTTCTTTACAATTCATTTAGTTCTTTGAAAATTCCCTATATCATATAGTTAAATGAAAGTGACTGATAAAAATTTGTTATGGAGAACTGCTGAGTAAGTTCCAGTTCACAGTGACCCTACTGGACAGAGTAGAGCTGCTCCACTGGGTGCTCAATACTGTGAATCTTTACCAGTGCAGTCAGCCTCCTCTCTCTGTGCGAGTGGCTGATGGACTGGAATTGCCAGCCTATGTTTAACATATCTCACCACCACAAATATGTGAAGAATAGCTGATGACCTGTTCTCCAAATGATTTTGTTTTTAAATTTCATGGGAATCCAAATACATGAAATGGATTCAGGTTTACCGTTTCTTTTTTGTTAGTAAAAACTTTCTCATGATTATACTAGGTTCATAGTTCATTCCTGGATCCCTAAAACAAATTGTTTTGTCTTTTTATCATCCCTATAAAATTAACAGTAATTCCCATCTTAAGAGAAAATAGAAAGTGTGTCAAGTATGAAAATATATTCATTGTAATTATTATTTTAAAGATTGCTGACACAGGAGAGGGAGAGAGGGCCCAGACTTCAACCCGGTGCGCCAAGACATGAATGCAACCTACCAGCACGAAGCAAGGAACCAACAGAGAGGTCTGCGGGGCAGGCCCAATCCCAACTATGTGGACCCTTCCACCCTGCCCCAGAAGGACAGCACTGAAGCTGCTGCTCACGGAGAGGGGCGCTTCTGATCAGGAGCAAATGAAGAGAAGGAGAGCGAGTGAAACACATCCCGGCCCACCAAGTCTGACAACGATATTCCTGCTCAGGGCAGCCAATGGACAGAGAGGACCATAGGGCCGGCCCCACCACGAGACATGACCTCCTGCACTGACTCAGTGCCACAGGGGACAGTACTGGAGACAC